TGTTTACTTCTGGTTTTTGGCAACCCTTCCCCGTAGCAAACAATGGGTTCACTTAATGATTGTGGATTCACTTAGCAACTATGATTTGCTTAAGAACCACTGTAAAAACATTGTAATATTGTGCTGGTCAGGTGATGACCTGCTGATGACAGTCACAACTTAACCAGGTGTGATGGGCAGGCTCTGTTTTACAATATCTTTGTAAAAACCTGGCATTTACTTCCAGTTTTCAGCAAAACTTGCCCATAGCAAACCATTGGTTCCCTTAATGACCCCCATAAAAAAGGTCATAAAATTGAGTTGGTCATGTGGGTGACCCAATTTATGACCGTCACAACTTACGACTGTAATTGGTAGACTCCATTACGGTCATTAGTCAAAGGTTACCTATATGTAGAACAACAATTATAAGGTTCCCCTTACAACTTAGATATTTAGATGACTAACATTGAGAAAATCATGATTGATAAGAATGGATTGAATATAAAGGGGAAATTAAGCTTAAACAAAAACCACAAAAATGGGATGCATGGTGAACTAATGAGATGATTTCTATAAGAATAATATAAGCTGATGATAAGTTATCATTGTCTGTACAAACATGAAAAAATGTTTATATTTAATCATTTATACATTGAAAATATTAAGGATTATATCTGTTTAAGGTTGAAGAAGGAGAATACAATTGGGAGAAGGGAAGATCAACGAAATATGTTATTAATTAATATACTAATTATGGAATTATCAAAATCAATCATTATTGACTGTTGATTATTATTGTCTTTTTCTTTTCAAATATATAAACCAAGACAACACGCTGTACACCAGGCACTGGAGATTGTTATTGTAAAAAACCAATAAAATATTTTTTTAAAAAAACCAATTGTAAGGTTCCCCTGTTGCCTGTGAATATTGGGAGTTGCATGGCCAGGACACGTCAAATATACAAACTTAGGAAACCAGGGATAAGGATAAGGATTCCCAAAGAATCAATACTCATATGGCACAACCTTAACTAAGTTTAAGAACTGGAGGAGGGGGAGTATTGAAACCAGGGTCATGGAAACAATGTGTTCCATACTGCAGTTCCAACATTTCCTACACAGCTTTTCAGACAGAATTCTAGATTTGCAATGCCGACACGTCTGAATGGTGTCAGGTTAAAAAAGACTGAAATCAAACTTGTTTCTCTACAACAGTGGTTCTCAACCTGTGGGTCGGGACCCCATTTGGGGTCGATCGACCATTTCATGGGGGTCGCCAAGCAAGGCTGTCCGCCATTTTTTTTGTCCGCCATTTTTCCCCCTTTTTCCGGCGGGTGCCTTACCTCCCTGAGCTGGGCCAGCTGGTGGTCGGCCTGCTCTGTCTCTGCCACTTGCCAGCTATGCCTCGGCTGGCGCAGGGGGCGGAACCACGCATGCGTGGCGCTCCCGGGCAGGGAAAGTCCTCGACTTACGACTGGTTGGGTAGTCCTCGACTTAAGACCGGTTTATCCTCGACTTACGACCGGTTTAGTCCTTGATTTACGACCGGTTTAGTCCTCAACTTACAACCGGTTGGGGTCGCGGCATTAAAAAGGTTGAAAACCACTGCTGTACAATATTTTCATGTTGTCCAGCAGATGGCAGTCTGGGATTTCTGTGCATTCTGTGTATTATTATTATTATTTTGACTCTGCAACAGTTAGCATATTTAACAGCTTCTAACACCAACATTGTTAGAAGGGAAATTATAATCATACTCAAATGGCTGATGGAATGGAATTGAGAGATTGTAGCTGACTTAATGAAGGTGTAAGTCAGGTGGGATTTCAACACTGGATTTTGCATCTTAGATGCTGTTCTTAACTCTGTCCTCTGCTCCAGGATGTTGTACAATAAATATATAACTTCTGGCTACAGAAGTTTCAAGCACTTTTCTCAGAGCTCTAGAGAGCAATGTATTTGGGGATATTCCTCTTTCCCTTAGCTGTACAGGTAGTCCTCGCCTTACAACCAAGATTTCTGTTGTTAAGCAAGGCAGTTAATTGAGTTGCGCCCAATTTCATGACATTTTTGCCATGTTGTTAAGCGAATCACTGCAGCTGTTAAGCAAATTCGGCTTCCCTTTTGCAGAAGCCAGCTGGGAAGATCACAAATGTCCATCACATGACTTTGGGAAGCTTCAGTTGTTAAAAATATATGCGGGTTGCCAAGTGTTCAAATTTTGATCACATGACAGTGAGGATGCTGCATTGGTTGTAAGTGCAATGGCCAGTCGTAAATCACTCTTTCCAGTGGAACGGTGACTAAGTGAATGGCTGTAAATCAAGGACTACCTGTAGTTCTTTTGGAGATCCAGGCCAATGGGAAAGAAGCTGCTTTCTTTGAAGGATCATTTCCTAACCCTGAACATTAGTGAGCAAACTTGTAGTATTGTCTGTTCTCACTATGTTGACTTCCTGTGTGCAGTTTTTTACCAATGGGACTTTAAAAAATGCAACTATGCATCCTCACTGGCCAACCTTTTCATGCAGCAGTGAGAAACGATGGCCCCTTTATGACCTGTGGACTTCAACTCCCAAATTCCTGAGCCAGCCATGCTTCCATGCTGGCTCAGGAATTCTGGGAGTTGAAGTCCACAAGTCATAAAGGGGCCATCGTTTCCCACCCCCGCTTTATGTATAGCCTGGACCTCAGTTTCCTGATCCATAAAGGTGGAGAGCAGCTGGTTTTATAAGTTTTGCCATCATTTGTTCTATCCACATATTTTTTTTAACGCAGGCCAGGAAATCTGCCAACGGTTTTGTCTCGTTTCATGTGTGTAATTACAGGTCTGGAGCAGGAAGGCCTTTTCAGGGTGAATGGTAACCTGAAAACAGTGGAACAGCTGCGTCTGAAGTACGAGGGTGGAGATCAAGTAGATCTTGCCGCAGAGGCTGACGTAAGCGCAGCAGCCAGTTTGCTAAAGTTATTTCTACGGGAGCTGCCAGATCGGGTGATCCCTTCTGCCCTTTACCCCAAATTCATCCAGCTTTATCAAGGTGATGATTTCTCATCAAAATACATCCTTATTGTGTGGTCTGCTACTTTTACAGGTTTTTTTTTTAATAATATTTTTCATTGCTTCTGACAGGAGAAATGCCATTATTTTTTAGAAACCCTTTTACAGAAATGCTGTGACATATTCATCACCTGTAATACTTCATATTCACATGAAAACAAAAATTACACGGGTGAATAAGTCTACCCTATACAGTATGTGGAACTTTAATTAAATAGAGTGATTGCTTTGGAACAGCTTACTTTGATTATTGCAGATTAAGAAGCCTAGTAGCTCCATGGCAGAAGCAGATAAATTGTATTTCGAAGACTGTAAGTGAGTTCCCTTGTATTTTAATGTAGGCTTGAAATATCTGCTTTGGAGAATTAAATCTGTTTTTGTGTATTCTATATGCTAGGTGAACTAATTTGTTCACTTTACTCACACTTCACATTAAGCTATGATTTCTTATTAAAGTTTTTTGAATATTCCACAATTGGCTGGTTTACACAGCTTTGTAAGCAATAAAACATAACTTAGAAAATTGAGTTAGTGAGCCACATAACATGCTAAACTGAAAAAGTCCAATTGTATTACAGCTTTCTACAGCATGTATACTTTTTTGATGTTCTAAACCAGGGGTCCTCAAATTTGTCTACTTTATAACTTGTGGACTTCAACTCCTAGAATTCCCTAGCCAGCATGAAGTCCACAAGTCTTAAAGTGGCCAGGTTTGAGGACCCCTGTTCTAAACCATGCTTGATTTTAACCATGGCTGACCATAGTGACATGATTCTGATGCACAATCTATTATTTATCACCTGGAACGGCTGCTAAGCCCAAACCAGACCAGTCACATAAAGGCATAGCTAGATGTTTCCGTGTAGAAAGCATTAAACTAATCTTTATTTTTCTACCCATGGAGAATTATAAAGAACCTGCGGTTTAATTAAAACTAGTACATTTGAACACAGATTCTTCATCCTCACTTTAATAGAGCAAAATATGTCATTGCTTAGTGAATCCTCTTTCAATCTTCCTTCCTTCCTTCCTTCCTTCCTTCCTTCCTTCCTTCCTTCCTTCCTTCCTTCCTTCCTTCCT